TTCGAACACATTAGATTTAAATATGACGAGGTGACTTGCTACACCATAAAACAGTACAACAAAAACTATAAAAAATTAGCTAAACAAGAACAAAGACTGAAATTTCTACTAAAATGCAAGAATTTTGGAATAACACCACCACATTTAGCTGGTAAACAAAGGAGAATAAAACATGGGTTCGAATTGGACATTACGAAAAAAGAGTTGGAAAAAATTGAAGAACAGTTTATACTGAAAATCTTAAATTTGGAAATAAAAGAAGCCAACATCCAAATAAAATTAGTCCGAAAAAATATAGAACACATTAAAACAGATCTACATAAGAAGCTTGAGGAGTCCGATTTTATGCGAGTAACAGAAAAACAGAACCATTTTTCAACAAATATAGCACGTCACACCGAAAACAGTCTCAATGAAAAATTACAAAGACAACTAAGAAAGAATTTTAAAACATACGGGTTTGTAATCAACGAAGATCGGTTTATAAACAAAACCAACATCACAATTCCAAGAGAATCTCGATGGCTTCTTTCCCTAGATTAAAAGTTTGCTCTGCCTATGACACGGAAAAATTTCTCGCCGGTTCATCTGATTGGAGAATTAGAGCAGGGAATTCAGACATTAGAGGAAGACAGGGAAAAAGATACTGCAAGATGTAATATAGCCACCAGCATTAACGCATTCAAAAATCAATTCAAAAACAATAAAAAAGAAAAATTCATACTGAGAATATTTGAAGACACAAAACGGTTTATAAAACAACATAAGGACTCTATAGTAATTACAAATGCGGATAAGGGAAATAAAACGGTGATGATGGACAAAACAGAATACAAAGAGAAAATGAAAGATCTATTGAGCGACAGATATACGTACAAAACGATACGAATGGACCCAACACAAAAACTGCTGAGAAAAAACAACGCGATAGTAAATGACATATACAAACAGAAAAACATTGACAATTATCAAAAGCACAAATTGACATGCAATGCAGCTACAGCACCTAGACTATATGGACTTCCGAAAATACACAAGGAAAATACACCCCTTAGACCTATTTCTGCTTCAACCAATGTGCCCTGTTACCACCTTTCAAAGTTCATTGGAAAAACTCTTAAAAAATTTTTCTCAGACCAATACAATATACACAACTCGTTCCAGCTAAAAGAAAATCTAAGAACCATGACGCTTGAAGAAGACGAGGTTCTCATTTCATTTGATGTGGTATCATTATTCACCAACATACCGGTGCAAATGGCAATCCGAACGATAATGCAACAATGGACTCTATTAGAAAGATATACCACTCTCACAAGAAAGCAGTTCTTAACGATGTTAGAATTCTGTCTGTCCGACAACAACTATTTTCTATATGACGGAGTATATTACCAACAAATACATATTACCATACCAACACTGCACAGAAATATTCAAAACAAGAACATAACATATGCACATAAGCCACATAGCACGCTAAACAAAAGACAAAATAAACAAACAACAACAACATAATGTGGTCTATCAAATTCAATGCAAAGGTAAAGTCAACGAAAACTGTAACAAAGTATACATAGGCAGGACTAAACGAGCGCTTGGAGTCAGAATTAGTGAACACCAAGCAGACGCGAAAAATAGGAAGACAACAACAGCACTTGCACAGCACTTGACGAATAGCGAACACATGGCAGATTTTGAGAAAACCATAATTTTGGACGTGGAAAGACGAGAAAAAACAAGATTAACTTTGGAGAGTCTGCGAATACAGAAGAGGATAAGGGACGCGATGAACTTTAAAGAGGACGTTGACAATATAAACTGTGCGTACCGGACGGCAATACAAAGTAACAACTCAGATGGGCGAAGACAGTGACGTCAAAAAAAGAAAAGTGTTTAGTTAAATGTTTTGCGTTTATTGTAATGTAAATAGTTACACTAATTTAATATGTAAGTGCTATTGTGATAAAAAAGATATGTATATGTATATGTATATATAATTTCCAGTCATATGTAACTATGTCTAATTGTTGTGTGTATTATGTTTTGTTTTTTTTGCAATAAATCAGACTCCCTGATGAAGGCGTGAAGTACGCCGAAACGCGTAGGAGAAAGAGGAAACGCAGTTTGCCTTTTTAATATACCGGCCGGAAAGCTCTACCAATGACCCAATAGGAAATTTTAACACTGGCCTCAAAAAACAATCAATAAAAATTATTGTTGGTTGTCCACAACAGTTTTTCGTTTAAAAACGGCCTCGAGCTCAATAAAATTGTTGAATATAATAGTTATAAGGCCATAAAATAACAAAAAACAGATAACTTAAGGACGAGCACACCTAAGGGTTAAACATTCTAAAAATAGAATTATTAACAAAAACCAACAAAACCAACAACCACATGATCAAGTGCGAACTGCGTTGGCTTAACAAATGAAAAAATGGGAAAAAGCAACAATAATTCACAGGACGAACTTAGCACAGTGCGTATGCAACAGGCTGAGTCAGTGGGATCGTCGGTTCGAATCCTACTGAAAGAAGACTGATGAGGAAATGTGGTAATTTCCTAAATAGCTATCACTTCTACCATTTTTTTCAAAAAATAAAAACTATTGTTGCTTGTCCACAATAGTATTTCATTTAAAAACGCCCTCGAGCTCAATAAAATTGTTGAATATAACTATTCAAAAAGGATAATTTTCCTCAAAAATTCATAGTCAGAGAATAACAATTTAAAAAAATTTTTCAAATTTATTTTAGGGATACTGTCATCCAGATCCCACATAAAGTTCCAGCAAATGTTGCTCTATGCAATTCCCGATCTGCGGTCGTCGCATTTTCAAACCTCCGAGTGTACTTCTGCCATGAAATCGCTTCTCATAAAAACCATTTTCCGATCGGAGGCGGCCTAGAACTTTAGGTGCCTTCATTTGCGTGACAAGATCAACACGCACATTATGAATAACATGATGCCAAACTCGTTTTTTACATGCATACAAAAAACTAGCGAAACGGCAGATACCTCGATGCGGGTACTTAAGCGAACATAATTACTGATGTAGTTACATCTTCTTGTTAACTTGATTAACAACACTTAATGCAGTATATATAGTTTAAAACCAAAATCGTAGCATTATTTAAACACATGAACAAGTAAAGAAAAACTTTATTAAACAAATTTTTAGTGCAATGGTATATCATTTTTACAAGAATTAAATTGTTTAAAAAGTCAAAGTTATTGTTTGCTACTTATGTACATTTATTAATTTTTAAGGTTTTTCAATCAATTAAAATGCCATATAAGCCTAAACTTAAGATTTTGCAGAACACGTAAAAAAATATTCATCATAATTTCAAACTTTTTTCTGAGAAGTGTTTTTTGAGTACACAGTTTTATAGCCCATTCATACTTAAGCGGGTGTCACTGTATATCTTTTTTAAGATTTCATATAAATACAATCTCTCAATGGAATCTTGTTCTTTATACAAAAGATGATACATGGCGTAGATAAGTGCGTCACAATTTTTGACCAAAAACACGTTTTTGCCGAAAAATTTAACAACTCGTGAGATTTACTTTAGACTTTATATATATTTATTATACACAAATATTTAATTTAATGTTTTCAGGAACTGGCACTGCATCCATAAGAGTTAAAGACCTTAACGATATGCCACCACAATTCACAAAGGACGAATGGTTCACTGAGGTGGACGAAACGAACAATACGGCCATACCCGAGTTGCCGATACTCACAGTGACCGTGCAAGATGAGGACGAAACCAATTCCTTTCAGTACAAAGTGGTGCCGAATAGTGGTTTTGGTGCTGAGAAATTCGCCATGGTCCGCAATAGTGACGGCACGGGTTCCTTGAAAATCACACAGCCTCTGGACTACGAGGATCCACTTCAAAGTAGTGGCTTTCGTTTTCGCATACAAGTTAACGATATGGGTGATGACAACGACAGCGACAAGTATCACGTTGCCTATTCGTGGGTGGTGGTCAAGCTACATGACATCAACGACAACGAACCGCATTTTGAACGTGAACACATTGAAGTGGCGATCTACGAAGATGCTAAACTGGGTACAATTCTCGAGCAATTTCGGGCAACAGATACCGACCAGGCGGGGCATAGTAAAATTACGTACCGCATTGTACGTGCCACAAATAAGAAACGCCAATTTGCTATCAGCCCGAAAGGTGCGGTGAGTGTGCAACGCTCATTGGATCGCGAAGAAACAGATCGGCATTTCGTGCGAATACATGCTGTGGATGATGGTATCACGCCGCGCACAGCGACTGCCACATTGACGGTGATTGTAAAAGACGTAAATGACAACGCTCCGGTATTCGCGAAGGACTTCCGACCGGTGTTGCCGGAGAATGTGTCGCCGCGCAAAATTGTAGAGATAGCAGCGAGAGATGCTGACGATAGAGCGCGCGGCAACGGTGGACCATTTACTTTTCGTCTGGACCCCCTAGCCAGTGATGTGATACGTTCCAGCTTCAAGGTGGAGCAAGACAGACGTGAGTATTGGCAGAAATTTTGATTTTCAGACGACTAACCTTTTTCAAGGCATATAAAGGCTTTTAACCACTTTGAAACTATGAATTGTTACGTTTAAATTTTGACTTGCTTTATAGAAATCTACTGTAGCTTCATTTTTAAGAAGGCAAACCGAAATCGTATCATTATTTCTTAATAAAATTAAAATCATACAAGACTTTTGTAATAACTCCTTACTCATAGAAGACGCCCTGCCTAAGAATACTTGAGCTTTATTCTAGAACTAGCCAATGCCCACTTACTTCGCGGCGCCTAATAAGAGCTGTTGCGTTGGCCAATGCAAAAGAGCGTTTAAAAACAAAATTAGTCTGTAAAGTCAAAATTTTTTATTTAAGTTGAAACCACTAAGGCGCAGTATCCTCATACATAGGCCAATAATAGCCATGCTGTGATACCAAAGAAGAAGTGCCTTTTCTGTTATAGGAGGGCCGAGAATCCTCGCTGTCCCACAGGATGAAAAGTTTTCCGGTACATTGCTAAATGAGTCGTGTGATCTCTTAAGTATCTTTCAAATGAAGCAATTGATATACCTACGGTGATCTTTCCTTGTTAATTCACCACTTTTACAATTC